TTACTATAACCTTCGCTTCCCTGGTTCAAGCCATTCTCCTGCCTCCGCCTCCCAAGTAGCTGGGATTATGGGCATGCACCACCATGCCTGGCTAATTTTTGTATTTTTAGTAGAGGTGGGATTTTGCCATGCTGGCCAGGCTGGTTTCAAATTCCTGACCTCAGGTGATCCACCTGCCTCGGCCTCCTAAAGTGTTGGGATTACAGGCGTGAGCCACTGCACCCATCCTTTGCCCATTTTTTTAGTTGGGTTATTTATTTATTTTGTTTTAGCGAAGTGTAAGAGTTCTTTATGTGTGATTTTTGTGCCACATCTAAGAAGCCATTAAGGGGCAGGATTTGAACACATATCTGGCTCCAGCATTCATGTTCTTAACCATTACACTACACTGCCTGTCTTGAATTAGCAGTTTAGATGTAAACGATTTATGCATATTGTGACTTAGACTCTTGATTTATTCCAAACATACTTAGTCACCATGCAGTGTCTGTATTTTTACATGTGTATTTGTATATATGTGATGATTGTGACACATAAGAATGGTTATTGTGTTATTCCCAACAATAGAAGATAATGGTTTGAAGCAGCAATAGATGAGTACTATTATTGCTCTCCCTATTAATGGTGCCCTTATTTCAGTGATGACGTTCTCTTTTTTGCCCATCACTTTTGTTTAATAGTCTTTTCTCACTTCTAGAAAAAAATGTATTTCTTCTTTAATATCTGATATGGTTAATGACAGAGCAGGAGCACCATCATCTTGGACAAATGCCACCACTTTAAGTTCCAGCTCCCTTTCTAGCCTCATGGATTTCAAGGAAACACTTCTGTTCTAACTACAAGCAGCCAGAAAAGAGCAGACAGTAAAACACAAATAAGACAGCTCAGGCACAGAGGGAGGCGGGGAGGTAGTCTCTTGGGTAACTGCCGAACTTCACCCTCATACAATGGGCACCAGTAAAACAGTGGGCCTTACTAAGCACATTACTTTCCCTTCAGGTGCACCAAGATAGGGAAGCTAAAAGTAGACTGGGGGGTATGCCTGCAGCTGCAGGAAGATGTATGTGAACAGACACACAACTCTCCCTCCCAGATAAGCAAAAGAAGAGACACAGAGGCAGTCCAGGCCTCTGATCAACCCTTCCACCCTAAATCCTTAAAAACTCTTAGTCTGTAAGAGAGTGGGCTCTGATCTCACTTGGCCAGAAGCCCCTATCAGGTTTGTTTTCTCTAAAATAAACCTGTACTTGACTGTTGAGCCCCCTTTCATGTTTCTTTCCTCTTTCTTTAATTCTTAATTAGGCTTTGTGTTCCCCACCCAAATCTTATCTTGAATTATAATCCCCATAATCCCCACGTGTCAAGGGAGAGACCAGGTAGAGGTAATTGAATTGAATCATGGAGGTAGTTTCCTCCATGCTGTTTTCATGATAGTGAGTGAGTTCTCACGAGATCTGATGGTTTTATAAGGGGCTCTTCCCCTTTTAGTTGACACTTCTCCTTCCTGCCACCTCATGAAGACAGTGTCTTGCTTCCCCTTTGCCTTCTGCCATGATTGCAAGTTTCCTGAGGCCTTCCCAGCCATGCTGAGCTGTGAATTATTTAAACCTCTTTTCTTTGTAAATCACCCAGTCTCAGGCAGTTCTTTAAAGCTGTGTGAAAATGGACTAATACAGTATCCCTCATAGCAGATGAAATATTGCGTCCTTACCATGTACACCTGCGGTTAATCCATTGGTGTAACTTGACAAACGTAGTCAGATGGTGTTTAAAATATATTCATACTTACATAAATAGACATTACTTTAAGGTTCCTGCACTACTTATTTCTTAGTTACCTTAGATTAGGTAACAGGAATAATTTTTTTGTTTTATTTTTCTGTAACCAACTGAAAGAATAAGTCATATCCCATTCTAGTATGTTCTGAAAAATTTTAAGGCTTTAATGTTAAAAGTTGTCATTCCTTTTCTTTTCTTTTCTTTTCTTGTTTTTAGAGACAGGGTCTCCCTCTGTTGCCCAGGCTAGAGTGCAGTGGTACTATCTTGACTCACTGCAGCCTTGACCTCCTGGGCTCAAGCAGTCCTCCCACCTCAGCCTCCCAAGTAGCTTGGGCCATAGGCACATACCACCACACTCAGCTAATTTTAAAAAAACAGTTATTTCTAAGATGATTTTGTCTAAAATGATTCTCCTATTAACATAGGTGAATTTTTTTGTTGTTGTTTTTATAGAAGTTAAATATTATTCCCTTTTTTTTGAGACAAGATTTTGCTCTGTTACCTGGGCTGGAGTGCAGTGGCATGATCATAGCTTACTACAGCCTCTACCTCCTGGATTCAAGTGATTGTCCTGCCTCTACCTTTCAATTAGCTAGGACTAAAAGTGTGTGCCACCATGCCTGGCTAATTAAAAAAAATTTTTTTTTTTTTAGAAACAGGATTTTGCCATGTTGCCCAGGCTGGTCTTGAACTCCTGGCCTCAAGCAATCCTCCCACCTCAGCTTCCCAGAGTGTTGGGGTTACAAACATGAGCCACTGCACTCAGCCAAATGTAATTCCTGTCACCACAAATATCTGGCTCAGATTTTCCTTATCTATCTTATAATATTTAAAATTCATAACTAATGAATTTTAGAATCTTAGTTCTGTTTTCATTAGTCTATTCAACATGTTTAAGTTCTGAAAATGCTTTGATGGACATTATTTGTATACAAATGTCTCAATTTATGGCCTTATAAATGATTTATAATTTGTTTCCTTTTTAAAATGTTGCCATCTGTAATGGTTATACACAAATCATTTTTTGATTTATTATTTTGATTTATGTTTTTGTTATGTTTGAAACTAAACACTTGGTTAATTCATCAAAAATTGCTTTAAAAAATGTCTGCCAGTGCACTCATTTGAAAATTTGATTTTGCCAAATGATTTTTAAAATTTAGTTTTTGTGCAAACACAAAAATAGTAATTATTTGACTTTATAAAGTAAAATATTTCAGATTACTGGCAAATATTCTTTGAAAGCAAATTTGCTTATGGATAATACAAATAGGATTATTTAGAACCCAGGATATACAATATAATGACCACATGGTTTAAGACATAACGTGTAATTTACTGCTAGACATGTTAGAATCTTCTCTAATGACTATGAGTTGTTAAATTTTTAAAATAATTCTCTAGATAATCCTGATATCTTTTTCTTTATTTTTTTGAGGCAATGCGACTAAATGAATAAAAGTTTAGACATTTTATTTCTTTCTGGTTAGTTGTTCTTTTTATTCTTTTTCCCCTTTTTATATTTGTTCCTTTTATTCTTATGCAGCAATCATCTTTTTGCACTAACAATAACTTTTCATTCATTCGTAATAAGAAAGTATTTGCCAGGCACTGTTTCAAGGGCTTTCCATGTATTATTTCATTGAATACCCTCAAAAACCCTATTATGATCCCCATTTTACAGATGAGGAAGATTAGGCAGAGAAAAATGAGGCAACTTGACTGAGGCCACTCTACTAAGTGGTAGAGCCCAGATTTGAGCTGGGTTTCTAGCCCCATAGTGCATGCTCTTCACTAATGTGCAATTTGTTGAACAATTCCTTTGTGCCAGGCACTATTCAAAGCAATGGATCTACAGTAGTGACTAAGACAAAGTCCTTGATCTCATGGTGCTTACATTCTAGTAGCAGGAGTGTTGGGGGTAGGGTGGGAGATGGATGATAAACCAACGAGCAAGTGCAATGGAAGAGCGTGTAGTGGGGACACAGAAAAGTGTGGAGGTTGGAGTTTCTATTCTGTACAGGGTAGGCAAGGAAAACCTCTCAGTTAAGGAATAGTTGAAAAGAGAGCCATGTGAGTTGAGAAAGAGCAAAGGCTCTGAAGCTGTGCCTGGGATGTTCCAGCAACTGCAAGGGCATCAGTGAGCCCAAAGTTGAACACATAAAGGCAAGAAGGGAAGAAGGTGAAATCAGAGATGTAGCAGGTCTTGATCTGATAAGGCCTTGTAAGTCATTGTAAGGACTTTGCCTTTTTCTACCAATGAGGTAAGGATGCATTAGAGGGCTTTGATCAGAAATATCAGTGATATCACTTATGTTTTTGAGGAATCCTTCTGGCTGTCATATTTAAAATTGACTGTAGAGGGATGAGGGCGGAAGCAGGAAGACCAGTTAGGAGACTGCTAGGAAATCCAGATGAGAGATAATAGTGGTTTGAACCAGGGTGGCAGCAATGGAGGGGGCAATAAGTTGTCAGATTCTGGATATAATTTCAAGATAGAACTGATGGTATTTTCTGATGGGTTAGCTGGTATATAAGGGAAAAAGAAGTGAAGAATGAGATAAGGCTGGGCATGGTGGCTCATGCCTGTAATCCCAGCACTTTGGGAGGCTGAGGCAGGAGGATCACTTGAGGCCAGGAGTTCGAGGCCAGCCTGGGCAACATAGAGTGACACCATCTCTACAAAAAAGGCAACAATTAGCAGGGTATGGTGGCAAATGCTTGTGGTCCCAGCTACTCAGGAGGCTGAGGTGGGAGAATGGCTTGATCCTGGCCGGTTGAGACTGTAGTGAGTCTTGATCATGCCACTGCACACCAGCCTGGGTGACAGAGCAAAACCATCTCTCTCAAAATAATAATAATGACACAAAAGAAAGGGGCCAAGTGTTTGTGACATGAGCAAATGAAAACATCATAGTTTCCATTGCCTTAGGTAGAAACACTGTGGAAGGAGGAGACTTGGCTGGTGGTGGGGAGACGAATTTGGTTGTTGAGATATTAAGTTAGACATTGCCTGCATGGCATCTAAGTGGAAAATGTCTGTGTGCTGTTTTCCATGAATCGGGATGTAGAGGTATAGCTGTAAATATAAATCCGAAGGTACTGGGTATGTAAATCGTACTTAAAGTCACAAGACTGGATACTGTCACCTAGGGAGTGCATAGAGGGAGCAAAGAGAAGAGGCCTGAGAACTCACCTCTGTGACACTCTCTCTTTTCCAGGTGGCAGAGATGAGGAGCAACCAGCAAATGGGATTGTGAGAGTGGCGTGTGAGGTAGGAGAAAGAAGAGAATCGAATCTAGGAAGGTAAGTGATTAGTATGTTTTAAGAAGAGAGGGATCAATTCTATCAATTGCTGACAGGTCGGGTAAGATGAGGAATTACCATTGGATTTCACACCATGAAGGTCATTGGTGACTGTCAAAAACCGATTGAATAGTGAAAGGGACAGAATCTTCATTGGAGTGGGGCAGAGAGAAAGTGGAAGGATAATAATTGGAGACAGCAAGGATAGACAGCATTTCTTTTTACCCTTACAGCCTATTTTATCTAATATTAATATAACTATATCAGCCTTTTTTGGGTCAGTATTTATTTGATATATCTCTTTCCTTTTCTTTCTTTCTTTCTTTGTTTCTTTCTCTCTTTCTTTTTGACAGGTTCTTGCTCTGTTGCCCAGGCTGGAGTGCAGTGGCATGATCTCAGCTCACTGCAACCTCTGTCTCCTGGGTTCAAGCGATTCTCCCACCTCAGCCGCCTCAGTAGTTGGGACTACAGGCATGCACCACCAGGCCCGGCTAATTTTTTGTATTTTTGGTAGAGACAGGTTTCGCCATGTTGGTCAGACTGGTTTCGAACTCCCGGCCTCAAGCGATCCTCTCACCTTGGCCTACCAAAGTGCTGGGATTACAGGCGTGAGCCACTGTGCCTGGCCTGGTATGTCTTTTTCAATTTTTTTTTATTGTGGTAAAATATACATAACATAAAATTTACAATTTTAACCATGTTTACTTTTCCATTCTTTTGTTTTTAACCTCCTGGAACCTTCAGTTTTTGTTGTGCCTTTTGTAAACAGGTGAAAAGTCAGGACAAGATTTAAAACGCTGTAGTCCTTTATACTATGGGTAAAAATATTCACAAATATTTATGTAGTTTTGGATGCTTAAAAGCTCAAATAGGCTTTACAAGAATAGATATAGAACAAACAAATTAGAGCAGGGAGAAAATGGAATGAGAGAACATTAAAAACAAAAAATTTTGACAGAGAAAAAGGCTAGAAAGGAAGAAAAAAACAAATAAAAATAGAAAAAGTAGGACAAATAGAAAACATTCAATAAGATGGGAGAAATAAATTCAAGTATGTTAATAATCATAATAAATGCAATGGATTAATCTCATCACCTAAAAGATAAATATTTTCACTGAATTAAAAAATGCAAGTTACAGTTTGTTTTCAGGAGGCATCTAAAGGATAAGGTCAGAAAGGTTGAAAGTCAAAGGATGGTGTAGTTATACTAATAGCAGACAAAATAGATCTTAAGGCCAAAAATACTAAAAATAAGGAGAATAACTACATAATGATAAATTCATTTCACTAAGAAGTTTTAATGCAGAAATCATATGCACTTAATATATAGTGATCTCAAAACATACAAGACAAAAGTTGATAGAACTTCTAGAATTAAAAATGAGAAATCTATCATGATACCACAGAGCACTTATACTTGCTGGGATGTAGGAGGACAACTCAGATTTTATGTTGCTAGTGAGTACCTTCAGGTATCACTACACCACTTACAGATATCATTTTCCAATCAAGGACAAAATAGTTGGGGCCAAAAAGTCCGGGTTATAAACTTGGTATAAACTCTACCACAGACTTTATACAAATTCAGGCATTGTAACCTAAACTCTCTAAGCCATGGTTTTCTAATCAGTAAAATGGCAATACAAATCCCTACCCCTTTGAGATGTGGTGGGGAATAAATCATACAGTACATGTGGTAGAAAGATCCCCTCCCCCATTGTTTCCGTAGCTGGCTCTGTCTGGACCAGATGACAAGGTTCAGGGTGATTTCCCTTCGAAAGTGTCATTCCCTTCTAGGTGCCCAGAAGGTCACTGTTCTTCTATGGGGGATTTATGAGTGTTTTGGGCCATTGAAAATAGGGTTTTCACATGAAGTTTTTACAATATGTGCAGCAGAATGACATATTTGTTTTAGCAGAATTTTAATACTGTGTTCACTTGTGGCCAACTATGTAGGATGAGATGCTCCAAATGTCTCCTTATTGTCACCTCCATGACCTATGCCCCATAAACCCTGGGAAAAACAATATAAACATGCCCTCATTGGGACCTCAGCCCTCACACCTAGGTTCTCAGCCCCTTTGCCATTTCTTCTTCCTCCTCCTCCTCCTCTTCTTCTCCTTTTCTTCTTTTTCTCCCTTTCCTTCCTTTCCTCTTCCTTCCTTCCTTCCTTCCTTCCTTCCTTCCTTTCTTTCTTTTTCTTTCTTTCTTTTCTTTTTCTTTCTTTCTCTCTCTTTCTTTTCTTTTCTTCTTTCTTTTTTCTTCTCCTTCTTCCTCCTTCCTCCTCCTTCTCTTCTTCTTTATTCTCCTCCTCTTCATCCTCCTCCTTCCTCCTTCTTTCTTTCCTTTTCTTTCTTCTTTTTCTCTTCTTCGTTTGTTTTCCTTTTACCTTCTTCTTCCTTCTCCCGCCCACCTTCTCCCTCCTCCTCCTTCTTTCCTCTTCTTCCTCTTCCTTTTTTTTTTTTTTTTTTGTAGAGACTAGGTCTTGCTATTGCTGCTCAGGCTGGTCACGAAGCCATTTCTAAACATTTTCTATCCTCATCAACTGAACAAGAATCTGGGCCTAACATTTCTCCCTGCTCAACCCAACCATAATGTATCACCTACCTAAAAGCCATTCTTTTTCTTTTTCTTTTTTTTTCTTTTTTTCTAATTTGGTCTTGAGGTCTCTCTCCTGAGAGTGGCCATAAACTCTAACCCCATCCTGCTGGGGCTCCAGGGAATGTGGTTGTGGGTGTTTACAATGTGCCTTCCAGAGAATTCTTTATTCTGGTGGGTGGCTTAGTGCCTATGTCTGACCCATGACCAGATGTCCCTCTCCCAGAAAACCTGTTTATTCTGGCAGACGCCCTTGTGGCTCTTGTCTGACCTGGGTACAGCTTATTCCTACCAAGATAGTCACTCTCTAGGAGAGCCCTGACCGGGAGAGAAGTTAGGTTTGGGTGTGTGGGGCAAGTGAGACGCAGAGAAGGCAACTCGACAGAACACAGGAAGTCATGGAGGCAGCGCATTCCTTATAGACGGAAGAGGGCAGCACACCTTGCAGGGCCAACGGGACGCAGAGAGCTGTCCATGACACACATGCTCAGCCAGCGAGTGGGGACAGAGAGGGTTACTGGGGGGGACGGACCTGTGGGATGAAGCCTTTTTGGGGGTCTAGGGCATTACCCAAGCAGCTTTCTCATGGAGAGTTCTAATTGGTGGGTTTAGAGCAAACTGGTGCAAGTTCCATGGGAGGTGGTCACTGTGGCATATCTGTGCAGTTCACGCGGGGTGTAGGGATCAGAGGGGCTAGTCAAGTGGGTTGTGTCTAGCTGTCCTTTGGGGAGGTGGTCACCAGCAGGTGATCATAAGCAGATATCTGGGTCAACCACATTGAGGAACAGGTGGAGAACTGGAGACTGTGTCAAGGGTGACTAAGCACTGCTTCTTTCTTGTATGAGAAAGTCCAACTTATATTTAGACTGGATGTCATGAAATTCTAGGAATTCACTACAGCCTTGCTCTGTGGGGTGTAGAAATCCCTTCACTTTGGCACTTGGTTTGGGGGAGCCTGTTCTGGAAAGTCCCCAGCCCGCCCTCCTGAGGCTGGTAAAATAAACTGTTAAAAAATGTGGTTGGTTGGTTTGTGTGTTTTGCTAGCTCTGCTGTGTTAGCCACGAGGACCACAGCCAGCTTCACAACCATACCCCTTTCCAAGTTGCATTTTTCTTTTTCTTTCAGTGACTTTGGGGCTTCTCATTTTCCCTTGACCATCTATAATAAAAGAAAGAAGTTGGGAATGGGGTCGTAATGTGTCTGGTAAATCTTATAATTCATTCATAATTGGGAAAATCAGGAAACAATCCAAATATCTCTCAACTTGTGTATGGACCAACACATTGTGATTCATGCATACAATGGACTTATTTATTACACAGCCATAACAAGAAACGAAATTACTAATACAATGTGGATGAATTTCAAAAGCATATGCTGAGTGAAAGAAGCCACACACAAAATACTCCATTTTGTGTGGTTATGCGACTCCATATGCATAGCTCTGTACTGTGTGATTATCCAAAACCCTAGAACAGCAAATCTAGTGTCTAGGGACAGAAAGAAGGTCATTGGTTATCTGTGGTGGGAGACAGTAGATAGACTGAGAAGGGGCATGAGGGAGCCTTCTGGGGGAGTATTCTATATGCGGATTTGAATGAGTTGTCAAAAACCAGGCAGTACACTTACAATGTTTGAGCACACTGTATGTTTTACTGTGTATTTTATCCCCCAATAAGAGAAAAGTTAAAATAAAAAATGTACATATATACCATGGAATACTACGCAGCCATATAAAGGAACGAGATCATGTCTTTTGCAGGGACATGGATGGAGCTGGAAACCATTATCCTCAGCAAACTAATGCAGGAACAGAAAACCAAACACTGCATGTTCTTACTTGTAAGTGGGAGCTGGACGGTACACATGGACATGGGGAGGGGAACAACACACACTGGGGCCTGTTGGGAGTGGGGGTTGGGGGAGGGAGAGCATCAGGTTAAATAGCTAATGCATGTGGGGCTTACTACCTAGGTGATGCGTTGATAGGTGCAGCAAACCACCATGGTACACGTTTACCTATGTAAAAAACCTGCATATGCTGCACATGTACCCCAGAACTTAAAATAAAATTACATTAAAAAAAAGAAAATATTGGACTCCACTTAAGACAGGCTGAATCAGAAACTATAGGGGTTGAACTCAGCAATCTGTGTTTTACCAAACCCATCAGGTTATTCTGATACACACTAAAGTTTGAGAATTGTGGCACTATAAAACAAAAACCAAGAAACGTAGAACACAGGATTTACCTCAGAAAAATACCAGCCCATGCTTTTGCAAAGAAACATAGCTGTGGTTTTCCTAAACTTATCAATGTTTTCACAGATTCTTTCTACTTTTCTAACCTTAGCACCTGCAGGGATCCTCCCTTGTGGCCCTCTCCCTGCTTGAAGTCCCACCCAAAAAGCTTGGGGACATAGCAGCAGCTGCCTCGGTACAGAGGATAGATAAATTTTGTTTGATGCCCTCTCTCCATACTACAATGCCTGGACCGAGGTTAGTGCCATAAATATGTGCCAAATGTATGAAGGTAGGTCTCCCTCAGCTTCCAAGAAGTTATATCATCTCCTGGACTTTTTTTGAGGTGTGTGGCTCTTTATGACTTATTTGGTTTATGTGCAAGAAAAATCCTTTCTCAGGGAGGGAGGGCTGCAATGGGGTGGAGCAGTAGGGGCTGTTTGTTGCTCTCCTCCCTTGATTTCCGTCTTTATCTGGTTCCCAGTGGACCTTTGCCAGAGTCAGTGTCCTTGTGCATTTCACATAGACAAGCATAGAAGTAGCTATCTTGCTGGTACAAACTGATCTGAAATACACATTCCCACAGTATTTCTGATTGTTTTCTTTATTGGAGTATAATTTATATGCAGCGAAATGCTTCCATCTTGGGTATATAGCACGTTGAGTTTTTACAAATGTATAGACCCATGTAAATAACCTTCATCTCTACCAAGATACTTCTGTTACCTCAGAAAGTTCCATCTCCCCAGTCCTCTTCACCAGTCCTAAAACTTCACGTAATGGAATCCATACAATATGTGCTATTTTCTTTCTGGTTTCTTTTATTCAATACATACACACACATCACACACATGCACACACACACATATTTATATTTAATATAAATATTTATATGTGTGTGTATGTGTATATATATGTATAAGTGTGTGTATATATATAAAATAAATTATATATATTAGAAGGACAGGGTCTCACTCTGTTATCCAGGCTGGAGTGCAGTGGTGCCATCATAGCTCACTGCAGCCTCAACCTCCTGGGCTGAAGTGATCCTCCCACCTCAGTCTCCCAAGTAGCTAGGACTACAGGTGCACCACCAAGCCCTGGTAATTTTTGTATTTTTATTTTTGTAGAGACAGGGTCTCGCTGTGTTGCTTAGGCTGGTCTCAAACTCCTGGGCTCAAGCGATCCTCCGGCCTCAGCCTTCCAAAGTGCTGGGATTACAGGTGTAGGCTACCACACCCGGCCTTATTGGGCATGTTGTTTTTGAGATTCCTCCATGCTGTTGCATGTATCAATTTTTTGTTCCTTTTTATTTTGAATACTATTCCATTGTATGGATGTTCCCTAGGCTCTTTATCCAGTCACCTGCCAATGGTTAGTTTGGGGTTATTATGAATAAAGTTGCTATGAACATTCATGAGTGCCACTGAGTTGATTCCTGGAATGGAAGCCATAACTTGCTTCAGGAGTGGTCAGTGTTTCACCTCTTCATGGGTCAGTTTCAGACACTATATGGATTAGCAATTGGCAGTCTGAAAGATCAGTGGTTGAAGACCTGCTGGGAGCATGGCATTGGGGAACCTGCATTGGACATTATTCAGGGTTCTCATGGAAGGTTGCTAATGGCCCACTCTGGGACATAGCAATTGGTTGTTACTGTGGATAAATGTTAGGAGGAACCTGGGCCATGCCAGTGATTGGGGGACTTTAAAATGTCCACTACAGTCCCTGTAGTTCAGCCATGGGTGGCTTCTGCTGGTCAGTGATTGGCAGCCAGAGGAATCAGGGTCATGGTTCCAGGGATTTGGGACCTGAGGTTACCAAAGATCAACAGTCTTAAGTTGGTCAGCTATTGGTGGACCTGATGCTCACTTGATGTTTGGTGTCCATCACCAAAAGAAGGGGATGGGGAAGGTAAGTTTGAGTTTTTCGTCTTTGTCAGAGAGAGCTGTGTAGGTTGCCCTGAATGTGCACTGAAACATGCGAAAGATCAGTTTGTGTGCACGAGATATCATCCCTCAGCTGGAACGCTTGCTTAGAAGACAGTGGAAAATAGAAATACCATTTATTGGGAGCCAACTCTGTATGGGGTTCCATATGGCGTTTCAGCTGCTACTATTATAAAATGGGCCAAATGATAATCATTGTTATCCAGCTGACAGAGTTGCTGTGATTAAATTAAATGAGGTACCTGGCGTCTGTCCCCAGAGCCTCAGGGCAGGAGCAGGTGAGTCAGAGGAAGCAGCAGATTCCAGACCTGCTGCCTTGGAGACAGATTAGGATCCTCCCACTGAGAGTGAGTGCCACATGGCTGATGCTGCCATGTCCAGTGCCCTGCGTGCTTCAGTGGACTGTGTGACTCAGCTGGTGGAGAAGAGGGAATGTGGAGGGTCTAGCCCCATGGCCTAGGGAAGAAGGAAAAGGCAGCTCCCTGCAGGGTGTCTGAGGGGGAGGTCCGGGTGGGAACAGCCACTGGCCACAACCCAAGAAGATGCTAAACCCCACCCCAACAGGGACCCTTCCCTTTCCATTGGTTCATTGGTTCATTACAGACATCAGATGATCCCCCCCAGAGCCCCCTTCCCGCTCCCCCGCACAGTACTGTTAAATAAACTATAGACTTAATTCAAATTTCACCAGTTTTTCCACTAATCTTTTTTCTGTTTCAGGAATTCCTCCCATGTTTTGTTTCTCAGTCCTTCCTTGTCTTTCGTGACCTTGACGCTTTTGAAGAATACAATTGAGGTATTTTGTAGAATGTCTCTCAATTTAGGTTTGTCTGATGTTTCCCATGATTACACTGAGGTTACACATTTTAGCAAGAATGCTGCAGAAGTGTCCTTAGGGCATCTTACTGGGAGGTACGTGATGTTGATGTTAACCTTGATCATTTGGTTAAAGTAATGTCTGCCAGTTTCTCCAGTGTAAAGTTCCTATTTTTCCTGTTGTATTTAATAAATATCTTGCAAGAGATATTTTGAGATTATGCAAATATCTTGTTTCTATTCAAACTTTTGCCTGCAAATTTTAGCATCCATTAGTAGATCATGCTTGCAACAATTATTATTGTGATACTTGCCCAGTAACAATTTTATGTTGTCTCATTCTTTCTATATTTATTAATTGGAATTCCTTTATAAGAGAAAGCTATCCTGGCTGGGTGCCATGGCTCACGCCTATAATCTGACCACTTCGGGAGGCTGAGGCAGGTGGATCCCTTGAGCCCAGGAGTTCAAGAGCAACCTGGGCAACATGGTGAAACCCCATCTCTACAAAAAAAAAAAAAAAAAGAAAAAATTAGCCGGCATGGTCATGCACACCTGTGGTTCCAGCTACTCAAGAGGCTGAGGGGGAGGATCTCTTGAGCCCAGGAGGTCAAGATTGCAGTGAGCTAACATCGTGCCACTGCATTCCAGCCTGGGTGCCAGAACAAGACCCTGTCTCAAAAAAAAAAAAAAAAAAGCTCTTTCTCTCTGATTTATTTATTCAACTTTTAAATTTACATCAGTATAAATGTGTGGCTATTTTATTGTATAGATTATTCTTCATTATTTATTGTGTTACTCAAATTATTCCATCTGTGGTCATTGGGAGCTCTCAAGGTTGACTCCTGTGTCCTTTTAAAATATTTAAATAAACTTTTAATTTATAAGAGTTTTAGATTTATAGACAAGTTCCAAAGATAGTACAGAGAGTTTTCATATACCCCTCACCCAGTTTTCCCTATTGTTAACCTTCCATATTGCTATGGTACATTTATCACAAGTAAGGAACCATCATTGATACATTACTGTGAACTAAACTACACACATCTTTTGGATTCCACTAGTTTTAAAATAATGTCCTTTTTCTGTTCCAGGATCTCATCCAGGATGCCACATTACATTTAGTTGTCACATCTCTTTGGTCTCCACAGTCTCCTTTAGATTGTGACAATTGCTTATACTTTTCTTGTTTTTGATGACCTTGAAAGTTTTGAGGAGTACTGGTCAGGTGTTTGATGGAATATTCTTCAGTTTAGATTTGTCTGTTATTTCCCTCATTACTGGACTGGGGCTTTGGATTTTGGGAAGAATACCACATAAGTGAAGTATCCTTCTCATCACTTCACATCAGGGGTACACGCCATCAACATGACTTAGCACTGACAATATTAACCTTGATCACCTGGCAGGCATTTGCCAGATTTCTCCACTGAAAGTTCTTTGTTCTCCCTTTTTTATACTTTGCTCTTTGGAAGCAAGTCACTAAGCACACACATATCTGGGGGAGGAGTGGGAGGTTACCACCTCCTGCAAGGGGGGTTATTTATTTACACAAGTTATTTGGAATTTTCCAAAGGATTTGTCTCCTCTCTCCTGTTTATTAATTTATTCAATCTTGTGTTTACAACAGCATGGACTCACGGACATTTATTTCACTCTGTGGCTTATAAGCCAGTACTACCATTGTTTATTTTGTTCCTCAGATTCCAGCTTTGGCCATGGGGAACTCCTTCATGCTGGCTCCTGCATCCTTCGGACATGCCCTGTCCTTCTGTGAGCACGGTCTTACTTTCT